ACAAGTACTAGCAAGGATGTGGAGACATTGGAATTTTTGTTCACAGTTGATGGGGATATGAAATGGTGTAGCTTCTGTGGAAAATAGTATGAGGGTCACTCAAAAATATTGTAACTAAAAGTGATTTGAAATTCCACTTCTAGATTTATATCCAAAAGGATTAAAAGAAGAATTGTGAGGAGATACTCACAAACATTTAGAGTGGAACTTTTCACAAAAATTAAGGACAGAAAGCAATCCAGTACAAATGGATAGATGAATTGATCATCAAAACATGTTGTAGACATACAATGGAGTATTATTTAGTCCTAAAAAACAAAAGGCAAGGGACTGGGGATATAGCTCAGTTTTAGAGTCTTGCCTAGCATGCACAAGTTTCTGGGTTCAATCCCTAGCATCACCCCACACCCTGCCATAAAAGGCAATATGTCCAGTAAAAAGAATACAAATATTGTATGATTATAGTTATATGAAGTGTATAGCATAGTTAAATCCATAGAAAGTAGAATGTAGGTTATTGTGGGTTAGGGGAGGAGAACAAGGAACATTGTCTCATACATATAAAGCTTCAGTTATGCAAGATACAATAGTTCTGGAGTTGGGTTTCACAATAATGTGAATATACTTAACAATAAGAAATTAAGATGCTAAACTTTGTGTTGTACTGTTTATATTTAATTTTTTCTGGTTAATACTATTTTAATTTTTTTCTTCTTTCAATTTATTCAAAGACCCAAGTTAGACATATTTATGGTTTACTATATGATGCTTTTTCTGGAGGGGCTATTGGGGATTGAACTCAAGGGCACTCCACCACTGAGCCATACCTCCAGACCTATTTTGTATTTTATTTACAGACAGGGTCTCACTGAGTTCCTTGGTGCCTCACCATTGCTGAGTTTCCCTTTGAACTCGTGATCCTCCTGCCTCAGCCTCCCAAGCCACTGAGATTACAGGTGTGTGCCACTCTGCCTGGCCCCCATATGATGCTTTTCTATACACTGCATTATGTTTAGATCAGTTTAAACTTATCTCTCTTCTCAAACATTTATCACCATTTATGATGAAAACATTCTTTCCTCGAGTTTTTTTTTAATAAATGTATTTTAATAAGAAATAACTACATTTCCAAAACAAAAGTGAGAAGAATACATTGAATTGTAATTTTGTGAATCTAGTATCCAGCTTAGTAAAAAATACTCAGATTCTCATATCTACATTGAAGTATACAATATATTATTGTTATTTATAGTCATGCTACTGTGTAATTGCGTACCAGAACTTCTTGCTCTTATCTAACTATAACTTATCATGCTTTGATAAAAGTTTCCCTCTGTTTCCTGCATCCTCTCCAACCTCTGTTAATCACCATTCTACTCCCAATATCTATGAGGTCACCTTTTAATATTCTACATATGAATAAGGTTATTCAGTACCTATCTTTCTGTGCCCTACTTCACTTAACATATTTCTAGTTTCATTCATGTTGTTGCAAATGACAAGATTCCCTTCTTTCATGGCTGAATACTATTCCATGTTGTACGTGCACCACATTTTCTTTATCCATTCATCACTTGATGAACACTTACCTTGTTTCCATTTCTTGATTCGTATGAATAGTGCTACAGTGAACATGGGAGTGCAGTCATCCTTCTACTGTTGATTTCATGTCTTTTAGCTGTATACCTAGTAGTTGATTGCTGTGTCATAGGGTAGTTCTATTTTTTTAATAATTTGAGGAGTTTCAATATGATGTCCATAGTGGTGTGCTAATTTACATTCTAAGCAACAATATGCCAGATTTTCTTTTAATCTATACCCTCTCCAGCACTTTTTTTTTCTTACAAGAGTGAGGTAATATTTCATTGTGGTTCTGATTTGCATCCTTCTTAATGGTTAGTTATGCTGAATATTTTTCCATATACCTATTGTTTTACTTACAAAATAGCTTATAAGCTCTATTGCCCATTTACTAATTGGGTTGTTTTAGTGCTATTGAGCTCTTTGTTTTGCTATATATTCTGGAGATTAATTCCTTATTAGATAGTGTATTAGTCAGCATTGTGTCACTGTGACCAAAAGATCCAACATGAACACTTTAGAGGAGGAAAAGTTTATTTCAGCTCATGATTTCATAGATTCAGTCTATGGTTGACCAACTCCATAGCTCTGGACCAGAGATGAGACAGAACATCATGGTGTAAAGATGTGGTGGAGAAAAAGAGCTCAGGATATGACAACCAGGAAGCAGAGGATGTTCCACTGAACAGGAACAAAATATAAACCACAGATTCATGACCCTAGTGCCCTACTTCCTCCAGCCACAATCTGCCTGCCTATAGTTACCATCCAGTTATTCATTCAAGTGAATTAATCCACAGATAAGTTTATGGATTTCATGATCTGATCATTTCACCTCTGTACATTCTTGCATTGTCTCACACATGAGTTTTCTACACCACCATGTATTCACATTATAACTTTCTCCCATTCGGAAGATTGCTTCTTCATTTTGTCGATGGGATCTCTTTGCTGTGCAGAAGATTTTTTGTTTGATATAATCCTATTTGTTTATGTTTGCTTTTGTTTCCTGTGCATTTGGGATCTTGTCCAATAAAAGAAACTAACCCATTCCAATGTCCTGAAATGTGTCCCCCTTTTTTTTTCTTCTAGGAGTTTATTAGTTTAGGTCTTACATTTAAGATTTTAATTCATTCGAGTTGATTTTTTTGCTACTGGTAAGAGTTATATTTTTTTAAATCAGAATTTAAAAACAGTCAGTAGCATCTTAGATCTTTATCTATAACAACATAATTTTTCTGTGGTGGATTGTAAGTAATAATTTTGTTATCTAGATCTTGGGGAATTTATAGTTTCTCAATATATTCTTGGGAAAATCTCTCAATAATTTTTCCTTAGTTGTTAGATTCCAAACATTTTTCACCATCCAACAATAAGTTAATTTTGTGGTCTACACTGACTTAAAAAAGAAGAATTTATTTGCATTTTAAAACTTCTGAACAATTCTTAATTTATTATATGATGAATATTTTCAAGGCACTAATACTGTCTCAAGTCAGTGACTACAAAAGACAACAATAACCACAAATGGTGTCTGCATGGTATTGCTTTAGGAGGAAATCAATTTGTGTTTCTCTAATTTTGAAAAGTAAGACAATAACACTGTTTTTCTCAGTAGTATACCTTGTCAATTTCAACCTAGATCTAAATTAAAATCTATTTAAGAAAGATACACTGATAAAAGCAAATGTTCTATTATTTATTAATTGTATTTAAAATTTACATGGGCATATTTATTAAGGATGTTATGCAATGTTATTATTTTATGATTTAAACAACTACAAACATTTGGCTTAAAATAATGTACAAATCAATGTAACAAGTTTGAAAAAATGGGAAATGAGAATCTGAAGCCTGTCTTCTTTACAGTAATAATCATAAACACTCCAACATAATGAATTATATTTTTTCTTGAAAAATTCTAATATATTTTTTAAAGAACAAAATTTCTAAAGGACTTTACATGCAGTGGGTATATATATATATATCTATATATATATATATATATATATATATATATAAAACATTCAGAATAACTAGCTTCCATGCTTACACTGAACTCAACATAAGGCAAAAGCCCATAATTGTATTGATTCTTTGGCTCAGTGTGTTCAAATCACAAAGCAATGTGGCAAGCCTAATGAAAACAATTCCTTGCTTTTGCCAGTTTAGATTGCTAATATGGTTGCAATACATTTCAACCATTGTCTCTGATGAAATATGCAGCTTTGAATAGCAGGACAGTTTGTTTTCTGAATGCAAGAGACAAGCGTGAATCTATTCTCTAATTTTCCTCGTAGCTTAGAAAAATGAGGAAGGAGCAGGTTGTTTTAATAAAACATTATTCTGCTTCCTGTTATGACCACATCTGATTAGGAAAACAGTAAATCAATCAGATTCTGTGAGATGAAACAGCATATCTTCTACTCTTGGCAACCTGTTCCATATCGCCACAGATTGTAAAACAATAGAATGATTTGCTGTCATGTAATTTATTCATGTCACAAATATTAGTCTCCTTTCAACTGCTCAAGAAAAAACAAGCCTTTGGTAACTCTAGTTATTGTATGCTACAATACAAAATAAATTACCAATTACCATTCCTGAACTAACATATGGCCAGAACTATGCACCACTTTGATGTTTCCTTCTTCCCTATAATTCTCTTTGATCTTCACCTCTTTTGACATCAGTAGGTAAATCTACAGAAATCCTTGTTCTTGAAATGTTTTCATCTCAGGACATTCTCATTCTTGCAATATAATATAAAAATAACCACTTCAGCAAATAAAATCCCTCCAAGTAAAATAAACATAAGTCAAGGTTGCTTGATGACGACCACACAGGCACCTGCTCTCCCAATATTCAAGGATGCCATCTGTCCAAAAAGATAAAAAACAACTTTCAGACAAATTTTACTCTCAGAGTAAAATATGCAAATTATAATATATTTAAAAGGTTAGTATTATAAAAATTATAAATATGCTTGCATTTTCTCCTTTCATTCACAAGTAGTATATTAAAATGGAAACATTGACAATGGCATTTTTAAAAAGGCAGTGATTTGTATATTAAAAATGGTAATACCTTCAGTCATTTATGGAATTTTTAAGAAAAATAATAAACTAGAGCTTCAGTAAAATGAAATTTCTATAGAAAAATTTTCAATAAAGATTTACTCTTCAGTTTGCATGTATATTTTTGCAATGATACTTCATAGTGATAACTTGGACTATATTTGAGAAGAAACAGCTATTACACTCACTGCAATTATTTTGAAGTTATTTCCCCAGATATTATATTGAATTAAATGTGTTATTCATTCATTCCAGACAGAGACATACAATGGAGTAACTTCAATATTTTCTCATAAATAGGCCATAATTATAATTGCTGTTGGCTTATTAAATTTTTTCAAGTTATGACAATCATTGAAATGAGAACTGGATTTTAAAAATAATATTAAATACAAAAATAGCTATACATATATTAAAAATTTAATGTAGTTTATAATGAAGATTTATTCTTTAGAAGTAAATCAACATTTTAATAATTTGACTTTTTGATATCAATTTTTATTATGGTTCTCTAAGATCTAAAGATTCAGGGTAGACTAGAAATTAAATACTATTGTTTCATTCTAGAAATAAGGTGAATAAAAAGTAAGAAATAAAATAACTAATATGAGCTGGATTGAGAAAGAACATTTTCTCATTTTCTAAATATGGAAATTAACTGCATTATCTATCAGTTCTTTCTAATGTATTTAGTTACCCATTATCTCACTGTAAGTTTAAAAGAACTCAAATAATATTAATTTTTTATTCCTTTCACTCAGTACATTGTTTATAAAATCTAATTTAATGTAATAAAAGATAATAAATATCTTCCTTTAGAATTGATGTTAAACTGAGAGGAGGAAAGGAACATGTGAAGTCCTTCATAGGTGATTTTGTGCTAAGAATAATTTTTATAGGTCACCACAATTATCTGCAGTCACCTTGTGTATAGTCATCTCCACGTGCTCCATGTGACTGGTGAGTGAATAGAGCATTAAGCGGCAAGCATCAAGAGGCAATATGTAAGTCACACATCATCAAAGTGAAGAAATTGAAATGCATCTAACTCTAAAATACATGTGCTTTTCCTTGTGTTTCTGTAGTTACCTAATTGTTTTCAGGTGTTGTTTCACATCAGAGTCATCTAAGGGGCTTTTACCAAATATATATGTAGTATTCCTACCATTAAATAGAAATGGATGAGTACTGGGTAAATGTTTTTGAAAAGTTTCTCAAAGGCCCTCTGATATACATTCAATACTGGGAAGTACTGTGCACTCCATTGCAAACAGATTGAGTAGCTTTACTTTTTATGTATATCTACATTGGCAGGTATCTTAAAAGGCTTCCCTTGAACACATTCTCAATCCTATGATATGTTGTGTGAAAATAAACTGAACACATGCACGCTAAAGTTAACTGAGTAGAAAGGACAGTTTTCAATTAATTGGCATGAGAAACATTCACATATTCCCTATATTTCACCAATCAAGATAGTATTTGGAGACAGATTATTAAAAGACACATTGTTGGGCTGGGGATGTGGCTCAAGCGGTAGCACGCTCGCCTGGCATGCGTGCAGCCCTGGTTCCATCCTCAGCACCACATACAAACAAAGATGTGTCCGCTGAGAACTAAAAAAAATAAATAAATATTAAAAAATTCTCTCTCTCTCTCTCTCTCTCTCTAAAAAAAATTCTCTCTCTTACTCTCTCTTTATATAAAAAAAAGACACATTGTTTTGTTTTCTTATACTCAGCTGGTAGAGGCATACAGTGTGAGAACGTGGCAGGAAGAGTACAGCAAGAGAACACAGGAATCGATGATTTTACCCAGGCTATCAGAAATAGAATAAAGTTCTTTATAAGTCTTGAAGCACATGTATTGTATTTTTCAAACTAAATGGCAGAAATAAGCCTAATGTTTAATGGCAGTCAAATTTATTTAAAACACATTCATATGCACACACAGATATGTGGATATGTTCTCTACAAAACACACTAAGACTTATGTATGGGAATTACTCCCTAATCTGTTTTCATCATTTCTGATTCTAGCTTACATGGAACGTTTTACAAATAATCATATCCTTGGGTATTTTACTATTTTGCCTTATTCATTCCAATGATCAGCCACTTGTTCTGGGGGGGGGTGTCAATGATATATGGGATAACCAATGGATTTCATAAGGGGTAAGTGGAGTGAAATTTATGGAATTAAATGTCATATATAAGAAACATTTCCAATAGGCTGGAATCCTCAGAGTTTTCAAAAGGTTTTTGTGTGAGTCTGTTGATAGTCCCCTCAAATGTCTTAAAAGTATGAATAATGAAAAGATATGGAAGTAAGATCTTAAAGTAATTTAATAGTTTTAAAATTAATGCTTATTATACTAAAATAAAGTTATAAAACATAATGCCTTGCTGTTTGTAAGACATTATATGATACAAAAGAGTGTAACAAAATACAGATGAGGGAAATAGTCTTTAGGAGGCTTTTAAAACTTATTATTACTGCATGCATTATTTTGATTTTAATTTTAGAGGAATGATAAGCATAATGGCTCTATACTACATATACGTTATGAAGATATTATATATAATTTATACACCCATAAACTTCCTTTAATGCTCATTTGTATAAGTGATACATTTCAGTTACATACCATTGAACTGAGACTTTTTAAGTAAATAAAATATCATTAATTCTTGTAGTGCTCTTTGGAAATACTAAGGACTCAAAGTTAAAAACTCAAAATATATCTAAACTTTTAGTACAACAATGTGAAAAGCAGTCACTAAAAAGTTAATTAGTAACTTATTTTATATTTGGTACCCTTTGGATAAAAATTGTTTCTCTCACAACTGAAGAATTGTAGCAACTCACAGAACTCATTTATCCTAATATTTCACCTTCTTTCCTCCATTTTTCCATTTTCCCTTGCTCAACCAAATATATCTATATTTATTGAATTCAAGAGGTTTCTTTTAGGGGGGAGGGAGATTCATAATTCAGGTACCTTAGCCTGTACATTAGAAATTTTATTCTGCACTTCCATCCATTAATGCATATGAGATGTGATCATTAATCAACTTCAAGTAAGACTTTGGAAAATCAGTGCACTCATTGATAGAAGCTATGTATTTATTTGGAATATATCTTATGTTTAGACTTCTGACTAATAAACAAAATGATACAAATATTGAGGAAATTGTGAAAGAAAAAAGGAAAGAGCAATTGACTGTAAGGACACAAGTCTTAGAATGTATTCAGGACATAGAAGCTGTAAGCTTCAGGTGCTTTCTGTAAACTTAGGTCTACTTGGGTTGTCTTGCCTTCATCCTCCCTAACACACACACACACACACACACACACACACTCCAGCATGCATCCTCTAACTATGCACTCAGAATGGGAGCTGCTACACTCTATCATAAACCTGAGTCCCTAACTATATTCAGGGGCTAATGTCCCATTTAAGCCAATCATTCCCTACCTCTTTTGGGTAAAGTCATTGTCAAGGACTGGGTACTTTATATACGAAAAGCTATTTAGAATTGTTTTTCTTTTTAATTCAACTGGGACAACAATTTATTTTATTTCATTTGTGGTTATGAAGATTATGAGTGGGAGCTTACAACAGCATCAAATGGAAAATTCTCTTAGGTAAGAATGGACCCAATAAACAGGCAAACATGAGTGGCAAAAAGGTCGAGTTTTGCAGACACCAATTTCCTTTTTCTAACTGTGTGTAAAACCAAATATACTTGTGTTAGGATTTTGTAAGAAGTATATGACACTTTTACTTTTTTGCTTCAGCTAACTCAAATTCAATTCCTGTTCCTTGTATGGCTTATTATAAAGTGAAAATGCAAGTGAAGCAGGCATGTCCCTTTTCAATACAAGTTTATTTTAATATTACATGCAACAGAAAAATACATAAAATGTGATTTAATGATATTTATTTCAATCTTAACCTAAGACTAAATCATTGTTGGTTGAAGGCAACTGGGCTAGAACCATCACTATTTGTATCTTCTTACTCCAAAAGAAGTAAATGAAGTTAATTCTTATACTTGAAGTAACTTTAGTAGATGACAATCTTACCTGTGTCCACTCATTAGTTTGTGGATCATAGGATTCCATGGTGTTGAGGTATGTCTGCCCATCATAGCCACCAACAGCATATAATCTGTCACCAAGGAGACACACTCCAACAGCATCTCGGGGCATACTCAAAGGAGCCACCATGGTCCAAGTGTCTGTTTTGGGATCATACCTGAAATTCAAGGACAATAGAACATAACCCATTCTAATTGCATTCAATTTTTACTTGATGAATGGTAATTTTTTCAAATGCATGCCATGAGAAAAAAACCTAAGTCATTTTTTTCCTTAAAAGTTCAACCATTTGAGCAGGTGTTTGCAATTGATAGCCACAATATATAGCTTTCTAAACTTTAAGGTATTTAAAAAACATGCCTATACGCTTATATAGTACAAATTCATTTAACAAAGGTAAATATCATGATTTCTTTTTTACTAGGAAAATTTAGATACACAAATGTTTTCCACAGCAAAACAAGTGCCCTTAAAATGGTATGTGTAGAGTGTTATAGTAATGAATCAAAGAATTGGCTAAAATCTGAGAGAATCATGGTGTACTTGTCTGATGAAAATGCTTTTACATGAATTCTAAAAGTTTAGCCTAAATTTGCTAGAAAAGAAAGAGAAATTTGTGCAAAAGAGCTACAGTTTAAAAATATGTGTGCCTAGCTTTGAGGAAATAGTTTTGTAGTATGGCTAAATTCAAAGAAGTATGAGATAGCAGTGTATCTAAAGAGATAAGTTTTGATCAGCTTATTGATTGTCTGATTTCCTAGATAAGATGTTTTTAATTCATTTAATAGAAAAATACAGAGCCTTTGAAACTTAAGGAAATAATTATAACTTGAATAGAACTGCCACTCCTAAGATATGTAGAAAGATTACTAGTATTCACCATGAGGGAGTTTGGTATGTCAAGAAATTGAGGTTAGAAAAATCAATAATCAATACATGGAATGGTATCAAATTAAAAAGGTTCTTCACAACAAAGAAAAAAAATCAAGAGTGTGAAGAGAGAGTACAAAATGGGAGAAAATCTTTGGACTTGCATCTCCGATAAGGCCTCAATTTTCAGGACATACAAAGAACTCATAAGGCTTAACTCCGAACAAACACAAATAACCCAAACAATATGTAGGCAAAAGAACTAACCAGACACTTCTCAAAAGAAGAAATATGAACAGTCAACAAATATATAAAAAAAATTTTCAACATCTCTAGCAATTAGAGAAATGCAAATTAAAATTACAGTGAGTTGTCAACTCACTTCAGTCAGAATGACAATTATCAAGAATACAAGTAACAATAAATGCTGGTGAGGATATGGGAAAAGGGGAACATTTATATTGCTGGTGGGACTGCAAATTGGTGCAACCACTCTGGAAAGCAGTATGGAGATTCCTTAAAAAACTAGGAATGGAAACATCATTTGACCCAGTTATATCACTTCACTGTATAAAAAGGAGTTAAAATCAGCATACTGTAGTGACATAGTCACATCAATGTTTATAGCAGCTCAATTCACAATAGGTAAACTATGAAACCAACCTAGGTGAACTTCAACAGATGAATGAATAAAGAAAATGTATATATATAAAATGGAATATTACTCAGCCATAAAGAAAAATGACTTTATGACATTTTCTGATAAATGGATGGATCTGGAGACTATCATGCTAAGTGAAATAAGCCAGTCCCAAAAACCCAAAGGTCAAATGTTCTCTCTGACTTGGGGATGCTAACACAAAACAAGGTGGGAGAGAAGGAGGAGGAATAGAAATTCAGTGGATTAGACAAAGGGTAATGAAGGGAAGGGAGGGAAGATAGGAATAGCAAAGACAGTAAAATGATTTTGACAAAAATTTCCTGTGTATATATAATTATATATCACAGTGAATCTCAACATCATGTATGTCCCCAGGATTGGGATCCTAATTAGAATAAGGTATACTCCATGTTTGTAAAAATGTGTCAAAATTCACTCTACTCTCATGTTTAACTAAAAAGAACAAATTTTTTAAAAAAGAAATGATTCCTTTCCAAATACTTTAAAGGTATATACTAATTTTGGTAAACAAGCTTATAATCACTCCACTTCCTAGTTGGGATTTGAATTGAAATTATTATAAAGTAAAATTTAATTGATGAATCAAAAAAAAGAAATTGAAATTAGGGAGTCCAAATTATTTAAATGAACAAAAAATGAATTTCAGTTTCAAAATATGTATATCTATATATAATACTTTGAGTGGCAAAATCCTGGAGACTATTTTAATTAATGTGCTTTAATTCAGCTAAGAATGAAGCTAGAACTATTCCTTTTCACAGTTGCTGGTTCAAATATTAAAACAAAAACTAGTAAGAATCCAAAAGGGAAGGTATAAAAATAGACTAGAAGAAAATATTTCCTTTCAAACTCAGCAAACATATTTTTAGCTTGTTTTCTTGCTCCAATTCTTTCACCAATTGAAATTTTCAATCAACACACACCTAAAATACAAGAACAAACAACCCAAAATACCTATAGTTTATTGAAAATAAGTCAAGTTGTTACAAAAGATCTCCAATTTATGTTACAGACAATAGTCATTACTCAAGATATCACATGCATTTTTACATTGTGGTTGAAGGGCTTGTGTGCTGTAATGATGACATGTGTGAAATGAGATACTGGTTGAACACCTGCGAAACTTGAATCACCTTGAAGAATAAGCTGCCTAGCATATAAATATTTGATTTTACATGCTCAGATTAATAAGTGCAAAATTACAAAAATAAGCAGGCACATATAGACACATGCAGCCACAGATATACACTCTATTTATCAGAATTTCTTTTGAATTTTTAAACCTTTTCCACAAACATTTTGAAATATACAAACATAAAAACTGAGAGGGATAAGAAAGACAAAAAAATTACTGTAAGTACACAAATAGTAGAATCTAGAATGTGTCCCATTTAACAAGAATATTTACTGATTTTTTCCACAAATCAAAGACTAAAAAAAAAAAAAGAAAAAAATGAATAAATAAACATGCAGAAGTAATTGTTTTAAATTGAATGTGAGTCAGACATATAATAAACTAATATAAGTTGGCTTTAGTTGGATACTAATTCAAATTGACCAAAAACTTAAAAAGACTGAGATTTTTTGGACATTTTAATATAACACAGGTATTATATTTTAATAAAAAATCATTGAATTTTTATTGGTGAGATAATAGCGTTTTAGGTATCTTAAATTCAGAGGGGCATTTGTTATACTAACTTCACATGAATAGCTTTTTCTGTGTTCATATTTTAGACTTTATTTAATCATTATTCAGCTCCTCAGAGTTATATTTTTTTCAAATATTGTCTGCAAATCAGACTTCATCATTTTATCAAAGAATAAAAAGAAGTCATGTGGAGAACTGAGAAAATGGCTAACAATGGTGTGTTAAGCAGTCATAAATTTCAAAAGGTTTAGTTCTTCAAGTTAAATATATATACAGTAAACAACTTTGAAACTCTCATATTTGAAGAGGAATTAAGAAAATACTAATATGTCCAACATTTAGGGACACATTTAAAAATATTAAATTACATTTAGAAATGCAGATCTTTTTTAAGCTTGACATTTCACTTTTCGTGTGTGTGTGTGTGTGTGTGTGTGTGTGTGTGTGTGTGTGTGTGTACAGGGTATTGAACCTGGGGAGCTTTACCACTAAGCAGTATCTCCAGTTCTTTTTATTTTGAGACAGAGCTGTTGCCAAATGTCTCACTAAATTGCTGAAGCTGGCCTTGAACTTACAACTTCCTGCCTTTGCTTCCCAAGTTACAGATATGTGTCACTGTCCTGGCTACATTTCACACATTTTTTGGATGTGATTTTAAAGTTGTAATGTTTCTAGAATCCACAAATCTTTGAATTAGATGTACCTGTTTTGAAATGTAGATAATATTTCAAATATGTAACAGTAATCTTTTTCATGAATATATGGCAGTGGTGATAATATTTTAATTTATATATTACAGTGACATCAAACCAAACCAAAACCTGAGCCCCCTTTTCCCTCCTCCAATACATACTCTAAAACAGTTATCGAGGAAGTGATCACACAAGTTCAAATTTATGCAGTAGTCATTATCTTTCTTTACACATTAGTAATTCGAAGATGATTATTGTGTATTCAGGAACTCTTCAGATTCCTCTTAGCGTGGGGACATAACAAAGTTTTCCCCAAAATGAGATTATTGTCTGTTTTTAGCTTAAGAGAGGATCTAAAGGTGGATAAACATTCTCCAAACCATTACTGACAATGAATTTTGTACTTTTAATGTATTGTTTTTGAAAACAATGTAATTTTACGAATTTTTTTTGGCCCCTGGTTGCCACTTTATTAAACAAACAAACAAATGAAAAACAAACAAAACAAAACAAAAAAACCCAGCAGTGGCAGGGTATGATTTTGTATTTACACTGCCTGCTTTCCTTGCATTTCACATCTTACCTTGGCCTTCCTGGTAAGAGAGTAACTTCTGTATCAGATACTCTATTAATGTTTATAGCCCTTAGGCAAGAGATGTACCAGTATAGAGTGGCTAAAATTGGCTATAAAATGAAAACTTGCTAACAGCATATGATAGTCACAAAAAAAAAGTTAGTTTCTCTTTGAAAATCCCTACTACAGTTCCTAAAGAATTACTAATTTTTTACAAGCTCTATTGTCATTTCCATACTTTAAGGATAAAATTTGGTCTTAAAATATTTAAAGGAAATTTATTTTTAAACAGAACAGCATTACTTGGGTATCAGAGTTGAGAATGCTCATTTTCCCAAATTTTATAGGAAGCATTCAGATAGACAAGAGGCTAAACAATATACAAGTGTTTTATAACTAGGTATGTTTGTCTGTTTAAAAATAAATAAATAAATATAAGAGCCAAACAAATAAGAGCACAAAGAAACAAGAAAAGACAAAAATGAAGAGCCAATGCTATGAGAATGAATAAACTGCTCTGAAAGAGTAGTTTGTAGATTTCAAGAAAATGGATTACACAAATTACCTCTGAATTAATTTGAATAAATTATTTGTGCCTTGAGTAAGTAAGAGTGATGATAGTGCTCTACTGTTGGTTAAATACAAATAATTTTATTTTGTCCTATAAAGAAAACAATCTGCTATCAGT